AGCTACTTGAGTTAATGAGTAGAAGATATCTTCATGGCATTGTGCTATCTCTATGCATCCTTTGCACACTGCACTTCAATATCAATGAGGGTGAGCTTGTGCATGTGTTCGTATGTACCTGTATACACTTTACATGTAGAGCCAGCTACATGATGGAGAGGAGTGCAAACATAGCAATCGTCCCAGTCAGTCTCTGTCCGTACCGATGATTGTGGATGCCCCATTCCCAGGCTAGCAGATGCACTCACTGGGATCTCTTTCAAACTTGCTCGGTGACTTGCTCTGTGACTCACTTCTTTATTGGGTTCTTCCCCTTTTATTTCAGTGTTATTACTTCTTGGTCAATGTACTTCATACAGGAAGGGACACAATAATCCACAGGCAAGTGCTTATAATATATATTAAATTTATCATCTTATTTTGTGTTTGATAGCAAAATGTGTTTAAGTCATTTATCAATGCTTTCTTTTAAATGTCTTGAATAAATAATAAAAACTTAAGTTAAGTTAAAATTTGTTATTGGTAGTACGTGAATGTAAGAGAAAAAATTCAAACAGAACTCATAGGCCTAGTTCACCAAATTGAGCTGGAAAAAAGGGTTACATCTGCTTCTAGATACAGAGGGTCATAACATATTACAACAGTTTATTCCAGACAGCTGGAAAAACTATCTACGCAGTGCAGTTTAGGGAATAAATAGATAATGATAAATGATTACCATGGAGCAAAGAGACAATAAATTTACTCTGATATCCCCTTTGGTAATAAATATATTATTATGTCCACTGTTTTCAGCTGAGCAGTCATATCTGGGTTTGTAAGACTTTTGGTTAGATTTTGAAATAAATTTGTTGTGCAATCATGAATTAAAGTTCCTCCTGGAATTTCCACAAACAGTGAAAAAGAAAAAATCTCTGAAGTAGAACTTTTCCATTGGGAAAAAAAATGAATATGGCATTAAAAATAATCTGAGTAATGAATAATAAACACTGCAAAAGTTAATCTCTGCTTGATAGCTATTCTAAGACCTATTATTTTGCTCCCGTATCCGATTCTGCTCATTCCCTTTTCAAATCCAATCTCCTTTCTGATCACTATTTATATTTTGGGGTAAAATACCATGTTATAAACAAGCAATGTTGAAAACAACAGCATGACAGTTTTGTGCAGTATTTTTTGTCATAGCCACATAACCCTAAAAATGATTGGATTCATAAATCTTAATAGATGCCTATATTTGGTGAAACACCTCAGGGAAGACAGAATTTATACAGAGATTAGAACTATGCAACAGTTCTCATGTTTCTCATGTGTTATTAGTACCATGATAACATTTTGCATCAAGGAATAAATTAATGAAAAATCTCACAAATTGTTTTTCACCTGTGAAGTATTCAACTTCTCATATTTTTTGTTGACCTAGATGGGATTTCCCAGGGGTAGATTTATGTATATATTTTTTTTCTATAATAATCGATCATCGCTTCCATCTCTATTCCCCTGGAATTTGGTGTGTGAATACTGGTAGATTTCATTTGCAGCTATCTGACAAGAACAATACAGACAACAGAATAAAGAACTATATCTGGAAAAAACATTGGATTTATGTTTGATAAATCTTTACTGTAAAATTACACTTGCAATTCAGCAAATGATGACTGCTTTCAATTGGTACTGGTAATAAGGGATAGTGGTATCGTCCATACAAAGCCATTTCAATCGACGTAAAGAGACATCACTGCCCGTCGTCATTCCATCAAACTCCATTTTGAGAAATGAAATATGAGGTAAACATGACATTTAGACAAATAGCAACAGGGGAAAAGGATGCATTCTGAGTAAGATTATTCCTACAGAGTTGGTACCATGCTTAAGCTGCTTAACCATTTCTGAAATGTAAAATAAAAATGAAGGTAGAGGGGTAAATAGAGAGAGTTAAAGGAGGAGAGGAGTAGAGAGAGAGTTGAAGACGGGAAAGAGAGAAAAGAGAGAAAGAGGTATACAAAGGAGAGAATGGGAGTAAGGAAGAGGGAGAGGGAGGGGCAAGGTGAGAGAGAGAGAGAGAGAGAGAGAGAGAATAATAACGGGATACAGAAGAAAGTGAGCAACTCCCAAATAGTCAATTTCGTTGGTGTCGAGACAAGCCATTAATACGGATAGAGACTTGCTTCCAATTTACTAAAAATAGAATGGTTTTATCGAAGGATTGCTTGGTTACGTTGAAGTTGTAAATGCAGCTTGTGTGAAAATGCACTGTGAGATTCACTTATTTCTCAGCATGAACCTTTCACAATCTGGATTTTGTGAAAGTTTCATGAATACAAAAGTTTCTAGAAAACGATGATGAACTTGTCTTGGATTGTATTCTAATTTTCTCTTGTTTTGGATTATCTATCTTCCAAAGGTAAGGGCCAAGTAAGTTCTTCCAATTGTGATGATGAGCAATAAAAATAAAAATATGTCTACATTTGGTATTCGTGGTTAAGACCAAAAGCTTGTGGTCCGTTTAGTATCCTTTCCCTAAAATGGCCTCCCATTACACATAATACTTAATTACTAGAAATTATGCAACAAAAATCCCTCATCTCTATTGCTGGGATAAAAATACACTTTTAAAGGGGAAATTGAACTTAAATAATCACCTATAGAAGGGAAGGCAAAGTGGGTACTAATTTTTTTTCTTTATTAAAAAAATTGAAAAGAAGTATTTAATGTAGTCTATTTGGGACATTCTCCATGTATGAGGAAATGAGTTGCTTTCACTACATCATCGATGTATGGCAGGAAGAAAAAAGATGACACATAATATGTAATGCATGTAAGAGAAAGGCAAACCAAACAGACCAAGGAAGTGTAATGTCAAATCTTTTGTTGGATAACACACAATGATTGTCTGAAATGATTGTCTGGGAGACACATTGTGTCCTTCGCAATTCTCATGATTCCCGTTGCACGGGACAGGAAGAAAAAAAAGATTAAACGTGTAAAAGAAAGATACACCACACAGACCAAGGGAGTATGATATCAATCTTTTGTGGAATTACAAGCAATGATTGTCTGTTTTCTTCGCAATTTCACGATTCCTGTCTCAAAAGATCTGACACCTCCAAGGCTGCATTCAACGACAACAAGGATACTTTGGGCGCAGATTGTGATTTCTTCTCCAGTTGACTTCTCGACAGCATACTTACATTTTTTAAAAACTGTTTACGCTTTGTTCCAATTTCCACTTTTGTCAAGTCATCATATTCCTTCAATCATATTTACAATAGAATGATTTCAAAAGCTTCAATACCTACATATATATTCTCAGTTAAAGTTACACTTCTGTATCAGGAATATATGCATATAATTTGTTTTCTATCTCCTTTGATTTTGTTCTTCTTCAGTGCATATATAAATTCAATAGGCTTTATGGATACAAGAAGTCAAGCAACATTCGTTATCATCCTTGCTACTAATTTTCTTTCTCCTTCTGAATTTTTCATAATTTTCTATTAAAAAAATCACCATGGCTGAGACCTATCAACATGATATATATCTCTCCATCTGTTGAAAAGACACTGCTACAAATTATACTGTTTATTCGTTGACTTCCGGACAGAGCAGAAAAGAAAATCTCGATGATTCGAGGAGGGTCGAAATGCTGAACCCATCCCAGCGAAACGAGCCAACGTCAGTACCAGAATTGATGATGATTTATGTGTGATTCTTGCACCTGAGACTGAAATAGGATAGTTAATGTGTGGGAAGCGTGAATAAGAAAGCTATCGAAGTCATTACAATTGTTGCCAATGGGAGAAAACAGAGATGATCTGTATTTATCTGTAACGGCGATGGGCTGACCTCCTCAAGGAAACCTCTTTATTTATCAGTATCTATATATATCTGTTTTAATTGCCCGAAGGAACACTACCCCTTCTTTCACAATTAAGGTTGAATATTTAAATCTCGGGAATTATATCTTCCAAGGAAATAAATGTCAAAGTGTATCTAACCTTCACTATATAGAATAGTATTTTAATACAATCAATCTTTCATTATTCATTGTTTGAATTTCATCACACAAACAACCTGTGGACTCGTTATGAATTACATGTATAGGAGAATGTAATATTTAATACTAGCATTTTGCTTTTGTCACCTCAGTCATTCACAGTGAGAAGAAAGAATTGAAGAGATTCAGTGAAATCTGTCAATGAAGACCACTTAAAGCTAACAAAAAAGTGATCTTTATAGGCAGGTGGTCTTTCTGTATACATGTATGTTTCAGTACTCATGTATCAAAGACAAAGTCTGTTCAAGGGAAACAAAAATGTAGTCTTTGTATACAGGTGGTTGATAAAGCAGATAGAGCAGATAAGAAGACAATAGAGACCTGAGGGTACCTTCAAATACTTAAGAACATATCATTTTACAACTTGATGATTATCAGACAGTATCAATACCAACATAAGTACATTATAATTCTCAACCTCCATCTTACTATCATATAAATGTTTACAATCTCTAATTCATGGAAGGCCGACAGGTAACTTAAAAGCTACATATACATGTACATAAACAAATATTGAAACCACAATATGAACTTGTTCTTGGTAATTGAAAACAGTTTATTTGTCTTTGCACTATTTATTAGTGCAATTTCCTACATCTACTGCATTTTTCCTAGAAAATTCATGAAAAAAAGAAAAGAAATTATGTTCATTGTCTGCGATTTCAATACCTACTTATTCGTACGAGTCTGATTTAGGATTAGATTTCTTGTTGTCATGGAAATTATCATTTAATAGGAGAAAACTCCCTTTTTTCATCCACCTCGCATCAGGCAATAGCATTGTAAAGTACACTGTGTATCAAAAGCTTCAAATTCTACTGCAAATTAATGAAACATGAAGTATCACTTACATGTACATGGCACTCCCTTTTTCCCACACATCCTGCCTTTTCTTCTCTGAACACATTACATAATTCATAAATCATTGATCCCAAGCATTTACTCTCTGGTGCATCTCCATCTTTATTCCATGCCTTATCCCCCCCCCCCCCCCCCATCCACTCTCCCAAATTTCTTCTCTCTCAATGCCTTACCACGTCCCCAACTCTCTCCCTATTTTCTGTCTCTACATGTAACTCTCTATCCTGTATTTTTCTTCCCTGTCTCAGTTTTGCCTCTTTTCTTTCCTTTGTCCCTTTCCTTTCTATCCACCTTTGCCCCCCCCCCCCCCCCTGACTGTAACCCTGTACCCACTGTCTTTTCTGTCCTACTACTGCCTGCTTGTTTCCCTCTTCACCCCACTCTTTGTTAGCCTCCTGAATTGTATTTCCTCCATCTCTGATTCCCTCTCTAATCACCATCTCTGACATACAGACATACAGTTTTTGCCAGCCGTCCCCTTCAGTCTAATTTCCAAAGCATGGTCATCTCTAATGTTACCTTCCCCTTGATCATCATCGCTAAATGGGACTCCATAAAATCGGTCAATATCATGAAGCTTTGTGTTGGCTACTTAATCCTATTACTCCTCCTGTTCAGATCAGAGATGATGATAATCTGATTAAAGATCATTTCTCTTCATGCGTAACAGTTTCCACAGGTAGTATGATTGCATTATGAATCATTTTCTTCTTTAATTAATGCACAATTTGTTTAGACAAAGATTTATGTATATTATTTGTGAATCCAATGCTTATTGGATTTATACATAATTCTTGATTTGAAGCTAACAAGACTTAAAGCTTTGCTTTAGCCTCAGAAAAATAAAGAAAGGAAAATATTAAGAATATTTTATAATGAAATATAGTACTTTTCAAGATATGAAGCACAGGAAGACTCAAAGCCTGAGGGATAAAACTATTTTACAATATTACACATCAATGCTACAAACTGTCCAAGATCACGACATTCAGCTTTTGATATGAAATTTGAATTTCTTGGTTTTATATTGCCCACTGATGACAATCTATAAAAGTTGTTTGTGTATTTTCCACATTCCACAAGATTGACAATGATCCATCTGCATGGATGCCCGAAGTTCTGTTCATCCAAGTCTTTAGCAAATACAATATTCTACTATTTGACCTTTTCAAATGGATACATGTACATGTAGGTTCACCTGAAAAATTAATCACCGTTATCCTTTTGGGTAGAGGCAAGGCAAGTTTGCATTAATACTGAATGATTAAACTCAGGTTGTCATCCTCCTTATGATTTCTTTGAATCAATAATAACCTTTTATGAGACTCAATGGACCTGTAAGGCTCAATCGTGCAAATGGAATTGCTTCAAGCACTTAGCCCTGTGCATAGGGATGTAACATTATTCTCAGAGATATAAGCAGGGCATGTATTATACATGTAGAAATGTCGAAGTCGAGTGGTTTAAGCACTTGACTGGAAATTTGAAGGTCGTGGTCCGATCCCTGAAACGGCACTAATGTCCTTTGGCAAGGCATTAATCTACATTTGCCACACCCAACCTAGGTGAGGTAAATGGGTACCTGGCAGGAATTCATTCCTTGAAATGCTAGAGCGCTGTAATGTAAATAGATATAAATATGTTCCTTGTTGCAGTGAAAAACTTAATGAAGAATGTGCACACATGCTTATGTTTTACTTTACTGCTGACAGTACTTGCACAATAAATATGATTGAGATCTGGTAATTGTACCTCATCACCTCCACAAGTTCCAGGAAGCTTCTCGGGTAAAGAAAGAAAGAAAAACACCTGTCATTTAACTGTTACCAAGAATATCTTGTCATATCGTTACCCAAGTAACACCTTATCATAAAGGGGGTATGGATAGCATACGTGCTGGAGTGCTCACTAAAATATAAAGAAAATGTGTTGTTTGTGTAATCTGACCTGCCTGTTCTGTAACTGTCCAATCCTTGATTAAAAATCTCATGCACAGCAGTAAATTATCCTTGGAAAATGCAGGGCTAGGTAGTTGTACTATACGTACATTGGCATAATATTCTTGGGACTTTGTAAGTAGATGCTCAATGACTGAGCTAACTATCCCTGAAATCTACACCATTGGTCCATAAAAAACAAATTTCAAAGTGACACAGATCACTTTGATGTGGGAGTGACTTTATGATTTAGAGGAAATATTAAATATCGCCGTAGCTCAAGGCACATTTATCATTTTTCTCCTTTATATTATTTATTTTTATGGTATTCACTCTCATCACTCCAAAAATGGAGGGCAACATGTTTCACTTTGCACAGTGGAAACACTAATCATCCTAATTTTAAGTCAAAATATGAAAACTTGTTAAAATCAGTGTATTTTTTTATAAATATTTTTTTTAAAAGTCGTCCAGCTTTATGGGCAGTCATGCTGCCTGGTTTCTAGACTACGTTAGAGAATACGATGTATTAATCTGCGCATAAGACAGCATTTCAAAAGACGTGGCTCAGTTTTCATGGCGTCAAGTTCCCAATTACTGTTTGCCCATTCTACCCTTCTACCAGCAGACTTGGAGGTCTTCTTTTCTTTTCCAGATCGACAGATCAACCATTTTCCCTTCCCTCTCAGTGGGTGGCTATTAATATTTACCTATGATTTCAGGTTGATCAATATCAGAAGCACATTGCTTAAAAGATGATAACTAATTAAATATGATGAGGCTCAAGTTACATGGAGAAGGGGGAAGAGGAAATGGAGCGGACTGAATGAGCATCTTTTTAATAAGGAGCATGAAACTGTCTAGTTTGTCATTCCATATATATTTCATTCATAAGACCTACAAGCAAAATTTGATAAATCCAAAATCACCATCCATACTGCCCATGAGCCCACATCCTAGTGACATTCAGCATGATCTTTTGTTGATTTTTGTTCAAAGTGTCCCTACAGAGGAAAAAGAATTACACAGTAGAACTCTTGAACAGATAATGGAGACAATGGTGTTTTATTTTCCTTTATTGCTAACAAGTAACAGCGCATGATATATAGAAACCTTGGGACCAAATGCTTCAGGAAGTTAAGGCTGCCTTTTGAGAGACTGGGTTATTTAGTGCCTTACATTGGGGCACAAGTGCATAACTTGGTATTGAACCAGGCATTTCTGGTTACGAGACCAACACTCTACTACTGAGCCTTCAGGCCTCCACATTCTCTATGTACATGAGAATACTAGATTGCACCAGCCCTCTTCCAAACATAGGCAATCTCCCAACTTTTGTTCACCTTCTCTGCTACTGAAAGATCATGTCAGCTAATATTTTCCTTTCATTAGCAAGGATGTTCCTCGATATACTCTAGTCTTGCTTATAGGCGGCCAGTATTCCTTTCTTGTCCATTTTACACATAGAGTTTGGTTTCATTTACATGCATGTGTAGCTTATATATTTACAGTAGTTCATGAATTCCTTTGAACGTTATTAACAGAAAGCATAAATGTGCATTGTTTCAATAACAAGAAGTGATTTTCAATGCACAATTGGGCTTTCGAGATAACATATTCTTTTTTCATTAAATAGCTATGAAATGCGGCTTCATAGTTCCAATCAACAATAACCAATGAAAGAAAACACATGCTAATGAGATACCAGTATACATAAACATTTTAAAAGGTAGTGCTTACAGAGGAGACACTTGCAGTTTAACAACCGTTTTTTATGACTTAAACTTCTGCTTAATCTTATTCATGCCCTTGTTGCAAAACCAGGGAGGGAATAGAGGTTTCACTTAAAACCTAAACTAAAACCTCATGGCTATATCAATTATGAGGTGCTTCCATCATCTAAAGAATACTGGACTGCTCCCCTCCCCATCCCCCTCCAGCACAGAGTACATTAGGGACATGTATAAGCATTATCGTGTAAGACCTACTTTACAGAGGGGCAAATTGGATGACCCATTTGTTCAGAGGGAGGGAGGGAGGAGAGAGAAAACCTTGGACGGTCGGTCTTCCAGCGATGAGAGGAGGTAAAAACTTGATCATGACCGGGGGGTGATGAGGGATCATTTCATCCGCTTCTCTGGAAGGCATTACACGACATGTGTAACTCAAGAATCCAATTTCTACCTGTAGAGATCTTGGCATTAGAATGAATTTTTTTCATCACTATAAATGTTGATATAGGATAAAATTTTCATCACTGTTGCTGCTGGTAGTAAGAGGATATTGTTTCTCAAACCCCTGAATAGTCAATAGATAGTAGAGCATGTGCATTGTTCACAACAAAGCACTTGTGTAACTCTGTTTACGGTACTTGCCAAGATTCTGGAGCCATGAGAAAAACTAAGTCTACAGTACATGTATTCAGTTATAGAATTCAAGGGAACTGAATTAAATAACCAACATCAAATGAGATATACATGTATGGTAATCAGAGATTTATTTGTGAAAAAGGCAAAGAAAAATATTTCACAAGGCAATTCCCCTTTTGGCACACTGACCAACTCTTTCAGTCATTTTGAGAGGGATTTTTTGTTCATTTAATTTGGTTTCATTTTACCTTGAAAAGGAATAGTACCTGCCACCTGTTCCAAAATGTGACATCTACTTTAGATATAGACTTATCATGCAAGGTTGTCGGGAATATTGTTAATACAGACTTCTGCAATAACGTCTTCTCTTAAAGCATTTTAATCTACTATGCTGCCCAACATTCAGTGCAGATATGGAAAACCTAAACCATTATGCCAACTGACACATAACAGAGATTTGAACCACCATTCAAATCTTTCTTATCTCTCTTATGTGTTAATGTTATAATTATATCACACTCTTGCAACACAATTGGCCTACATGTAAATGAGGTAACATAACAATATCTTGACAGTCTTAGTGATATAAAAACAAAAATGTTTGTGATGAGCTTCTTACACTGATGCCACATATACATGTACATACATGCAAGGAGCTCATGGGCAATGGTTTACGAAATATGCCTTTGAGACATACAATGTAGGTCAATTTCAATTCAATCAAAAGATGTTTATAATTCTTCTGATTTGATAGACTGAATTACTGAGAAAGATGAAGAAAAAACGAAATAGAA